TATGTTATCATTTTTTTACAGTTAGATTATATATGTCATCAAAAAAATATAAAAAATACCAAGTGAACGGAGTTAATGGCTTAAATTGATGAAAGTATCAAAATTGTGCAGTTATTAAAGTTAAGGGATTAAAAAAATGTAAAAAATAATTTAAGAACCAAAAAAATACAAAAAATAGTTTATGAACCAAAAAGTACAATTCAATAAAGTTGAGAGATAAAAAAGTGAAATTTAATGAAGCTGAGGGACAAAAAAGTGAAATTTAATGAAGTTAAGGGACAAAAAAGTGAAACTCAATGAAGTTGAGGGACAAAATTAGCATTTAACTAATTTTTTCCAGTGGCGGGTGTGAAATGTGACGGATCATTAACGGAACAATAGGATATTTGACGGAAGTTAGTTTTCCGTCCAATTGGGACCTTATTTGAGAATTTCGTGGAGTTCCTGACCTTCATTGAGTGCAATCGAAGTTTGAGTCCGAAATTACGAATTTGGTGTAAGTTCGGGTCCTTATTTCATATTTTTGCCGCAAATAAAAGTAGCATAAAAAATTAAAAGGCGCCGACACTTACCGTCGCAAGAATCAGAACCGCATGGACGTGGGAGGGGGAAGCTCTCTGTTTCCATGGAGGGAGAAATTCGAACTGCAAGAAACTGAAACCAGAAATCCTTAAACAGATCTAAACGCCAAAAAAGCTATCTCAAAGTTCATCTTAAAATTAATTTTCTCTTCAAACAGTTCCAAACAAAACATTCCAAAATCTCATATACAAACAAAAAGATGTGAAATAATAATTTCTCCGGAATGAGAATCTATGGTTTTCAAACCCAAAAGTCTGTGCTCATTTGCACCCAGAAATCTGGAAAATATAATTGCAAAACTTTATATTTATAGATGATTCGAGAAAAAATAAATTGAGATGAAAAAAGGGAAACAAATAGCCGACGGCTAGAAATCTAACCTTTGCCATTGAAAAGGCCGTTGATCCAATGGCTAGAAGAGTCAACAGCCTGTCAGCGCTCTTAATTTCTTAACTTTCTTGCCCGTTTAGGGCCAAAAACGAAACAGAGCACAGATCTCTCTCTCATCCCTCCAGTAATGCTCGGTAACGTTCTGTTCTGGAAAAAACTGAACATTTCATATAAACAGAAGACCATTAGGTGTATGACAGCTCATAAACATGTGATTCCTTTATTAAAAGGACAACTTTTGGAATCACAACAAATTCTACCATGCTCTTCTTTTTCCTTTACGCACAGAACGCGTTAAGGATTTCTATTGGAATTCTCGTGTATTATTCGCGTAAGCTTTGTCCAGCACTAGCACCTGGCCTTTCGGTGCAGTGACGTTTGTTACTTTGATAGGTGTATCCTCAGCTTATTTTGGGGTTGGATTCGATCCTTCGTCCCCTTTATTTTAAATCTGTTCAAATAAAAAAATAAAAACAAAAAACTTAATCCAACATTAGGTAGTTTAATGATTATTTTTTAAAAATATGTGATTAGGTATAAATAATTTTAATTTTAATTTTAATTTCAGGTTTTATTTTCTTTTTCCCTTAA